AAAAAAAAAAAAAAAAAAAAAAATACTAAAGGACTATTACGTACCTCCCTAGACATTTCTGTGTGAAATGCTCTGAACAGCACTCGATTCTTGGCAAATGAAAAAGGTACTTTTCTAGTTGGCCCTGCAGGGAGCCAGAGTGACTCTCTCTCACAGTCTAATCGAGGGGCACAGAAACGGCAAGGACACGGTATCGGTCTGCAGGGTCAGGGAGGAGTCACTGACAGCCCCAGAAAACAGCCCCTAGCTGCCTGGCAAAACCAGTTCAAGAGCGTTCCTCCTCAGGACCTGAGCTAGAAGTGGCTCTGCTACCAGGCAGCTCAAGCACACCCTGCTGGTGACTTCCGGAACCGAAATATTATGCGGTGTGATCAAAACATACGGTGAACACAGAAGGGTTGGTTTGTTCCGTTTCGTTTTTAAATTGTAATAAAAGACACATTGCCATCAAATCCTCCCCTCGCTTCAGACACACCCATCCCATCGTCCTCACCAGTCTGCAGCAGCTCCGGAGCCCCCTCTCCTGAGGGTCTTCAGTGGCACTGTCCTGGCTGTCTCGATGTCCTGAATCCATGCAAAATGTTCCCCTTTCCTGGTCACTCCGACACGGAGAAAGCAGAAGTCTCACAATGCCAGATCGGGTGAGTAAGGTGGGTGAGGGTGCAGCGTCGTGTTTTTAGGAGCTGCCTTTCCCCTGGATGGCGCTCAGCAGCCGCACTCACCGTATTTTTACTCACACTTCATAAAGACACTCAAGAAAGAGGACTCCAGGACTGCTTCAGAAAGCAGCAAGGGCGATGGGACATGTGTTTGAAGTAACAGGTCACTAAAGGAAATGTACGTAACTGTAACAACTTTTTAAATATTCACTGTATTTTTGGATCACCCCTTGTACAAAGCCACAGGAGAAATCCAAAGAGAAAATAGTAGTCTTAGCCGGGCGTGGTGGTGCACACCTGTAATCCCAGCACTGGCACTCGGGAGGCTGAGGCAGGAGGATCGCTGTGAGTTCGAAACCAGCCTGGGCTACATAGTGAGGTCCGGGTCAGTCTCAACTACACAGTGGGACCCTGTCTCAAGAAACCAAAAAAAGAAAATAGTAGTCTTATAACAACCCGTAAGGGGCCCTGCAGCTGCCCGTGACCCTAAGCGATGTGATCTCGCGAGATGAGGCACACCGGGTGTGCCAGGCAGAGACTGACCCCACCCCTCTATGTCACTGGGCCGGGCCGGAGGACGAACCTGAAGACACCAGGGCCGGACGGCCTTCCCTTCCCCGGGTGTGACACGTCGCAGCAGCCCCAGGTGCCCCCCAGGCAGGGCGGCCGGCTCCCAGTCCTCTTCCCCTCGGGCGTCTGCGTGCAGCTTTCCAAGG